GCGGGGTTCCGGGGTGGTGTAGCGGGGTTGGTGGGGGGGGTCGCCGGGGTCGGGCGGTGGCGGGGGTGTCGGGGCCGGTGGCGGTGGTCGGGGACCCCGGACCCGAGGCTCCGGGGGGGCAACCACCGCCCCAGCTTCGCCCCCGGGGTCCCCACGTGACATCCCTGGCCGTAGTCGCCCCTTCGCGCCAGCCTACGCTGCCCCATTTACCGCACAAGGTCGCACCGTTGTTGTCGATGTCATCGTCCTCGCCCGCGCGCTTGCCTCGATCAATGGCAAATATTCTTAATTCCTACTTAATAAATAAAAATAAAACAAAGTTAAACTGACCGGTGTCCGCGCCGACCTTTTAAATCAACGACAAGGAAAGAAACCCCGCGCGCCTTAAGCCCTGCGCGCCCACGCACTCTCTACTTCTAGACCTCATAGCCAACCTATAGTCACCATACCTCCGCAAGTCGCGCGGCCTTCTCAACAATTATGGGTCAAACTTGTTTTCTGTCACTTGCAAAAACCAGGGCGGATACCCTTGTAAGGGTATTCACACCGACACCGCCTTTCGAAATCCCTTCCATCCTTGCTATATTCTTCAATCTCTCATCACCTCCATCACTCCACAACTTATAACTTAGCAACCTTCGCCCTTCAGGAACCATCTTCATGGTTACGCCATCCCGACAACTTCGTTGTGGTCTCTCCATCCAAAACTTCTCCAACTGGTCTCTTTTTCTCCTCCTCCAATCGTAGCTACTCCCATCCTGTCTTACAATGGATTAACCATGGTGTCAGGCTCCAGTTTAAGGATACTAGTAATATGCCTACTTCTAAAATAATTGAAGTTAAAAGAATGGTAAAAGGTGTTCTCCTTGATGGTCAATTCAAGTTGCCCTCACTCTCCAAAAACCAGCTAGTCTAACCATTCCCAATCACAACCTCATACCCCACCACTCCAACTTAATCTCTTTCACAGTCCCTGAACTCTTAAGCCCCGATGCGACGGCGATGTCATTAAAATTTATTACAACACCCTTGTCATTAATCTCGTCTTCGCTACAAAGAGCTCTTCAAAAACTCGCTTCATCTAAGATGTTCATTTTGTCAATCTCTTTGCCCCATTTCCCAAATTCCACTATGAGTCTATGGATAACCTTCTTCCATCACTCTGTAGCTATGTGACACCCGCGGCCTAGTCCACGGGCAATTCGGCTGCCACGTCCGAAAAGGTCGGTCGCAAGGCCTAGTTTGCGGCCCAATATTTCATATATTTTTTCGGGGGTTAAAAAATAAGTGAAAACAAAATAAAATATATGGGGTTGTAGGGTTTCGAAAATCCTACAACCCTTTTTTTTTTTAATTTGACTTCATTTAGGATTTATAAAAAATGAAAAACAAAAATCGGTTAAAAGAGAAAAAAGACAAGCAGAATTTTTTTTTTTTTCATTTTTTTCGTGACTGATATAGAGTTAGAGTCCTCCTAAAAAAAAATCCAAGGTAATTG